TATAAAAACCCAACAATAAATTATGTAAATAACTATTTATCACCAGGTGGGTGAAGTCGACACAAGTTTCTTTTCCATCGACTGTTTCCACATGAGTGAGCGAGCTCATGCAGAGATGGCCATCGCCCTCTGGAACAACATGGTGATTATTGTGCAGCAGTGAAACAAACACATGTAGAGGTTTTATTTTTTGCAGCGTTAAGTTTTCCTCTCTGTCTCAACAGTTGGAGCCTGTTGGCAGGAAACAGGCGTACAACAACTTCACATATGACCGCTCCAAGATCCACTGTCCATCTGAGGTAAAAATCTGTTTCTTTCTGCACGTTTCTGTTTTCACTATTCAGCTGAGCTTCATCGTCTGATCTCATTTAGGCCAGTCCCTTCATCTTCACTAAGACCAACAGCCTGCCAGCTCCACCTGTAACCACCACAGCGCCAACAGACACCACCAGTGATTTGCCCAGGTGTGCCTCCACCCTGCCTGTGTGGGTGCCAGTGGTTGTGGGAATTGTGAGTTTTTTGGCTGGTGTTATCGTCTCCTGGCTCATTCTGTCCTGCGTACAACGGCGAAACAACAGAAAGGAGGCAGGCAGAGCAGAAATGAAAAGAACTGGGTTTTAAACGTAGCATTATGGCTTGATGGCTCACTAAAATACTCCACATTGGGATTATTAGGTTTTTTTTCTTGGTGTTTGACTTTTGGCTTCATAATCAGATAATTTGAAATCGTCTGATGAGCATGAGGCTATACACAACTCCATACTGCTACTGTTGTTACCCTCACTTTTTAGTTTGGAAATCTGCTTAGAAATGCTTATGCTGATTAATTTTGTGCACTGTACAGAGTATGTGAGATATCTGTGTAATTAAAAAAATACAATTGTTTGTATATTTCTCTGTCACAACTTTATTTATTGGAAAAATAAAACTGCAACAATTATATTGTAATTATTTGTTGAGCTTACTTACTTTTAGTCATAATGGCAATAGTGATTGATCTCAACTATATTTTGAATAGATTTATTTTTAAAAAAGTTTGCACAAAGTAAAACAGTACAAAAAGACAGCCTAATAATGGTCATTTGGTTTTCATTAAATCTGGCAAAAGGCTTTATTTATATTGAGTGTGGACCCACATTTCAGAGTTGCATACTCATTTATCTGGACTGCTTTTATACTGCACCATGTGGTGTAGCTCTGGATAACCTTATTTTGTTTGATTTCAAATATCTAAGTTTTAAAAAAATTGCAACTTTTATTTTATTTATTATTATTTTTTCTAAATGAAATTTAAAACTTATAAATATATATTGTTGTGGGCACCCTCAATCAAAACAAGTGCAGAAACAGGGTCAACATTGGGGGTTCCTGCTCTTTTTAAGCCTACAAGTCTGCACTCAGGGACTCACTTTCCCCACAAACCTGCCTGCGTGAGCAGCAGCAACATGGCGGAGGGCGAGCTGAACATCGACAGCCTCATTTCTCGGCTACTAGAAGGTACGTTTGCGTTTCTGTGCTCCGCATTTCTCACCAGCCGTCGCTGAAAGTCGGGTTTTTAATTTGACACCCGCAACTTCACGTTTTTTAATATTACTGTTTAAATAAAAATTGACGTCACGCCCTCCGCGTTGTTCACCAGCGAATATAAGCTAACGAAACGGGTTAAAAAAACTACGTCAGTGTCTTTTACTACATCCTTTTTTATGTTAATGACCTACTTAGTCCAAATGGGAGAAAGCGGGGATAGTTTCGACCGTAATGGGAAGTCTTATTTAACGGTAAAGGAGGTGGTTAGTGTTTTTATTGCCTTTTTAAAAGCGTTAAAACGCTAAAGGTTCTCGTGGTCGTCGCTGGACACGCCCCCTCAATGAAGGCTTCGTTTGTTTATTCAGCTCAGTTTTACCATATTTACTCATATTTTATGAGCTTGGGCTCAGATTATGGACAAATATTGGTCTGTTTTACAATGTAGAGGTTAGGTTTGTGATCCTTTTTAAAAATATCTCAACTGTTCATCTTAGCTATTCTAATTGTTTTGCAATAATGTTTTTTTTCCCCATTTAATGCGTTCTAGTTTATCATTAGTTTTATCTCACAGACACTTTAAAGTGAGCATTTAAATCCAGTTTGTGACCTTGGAAAGCTTGTTTTCAGCAGATTTGTTTTTTTTTTTACACACCTCACTCCCTCCTCCACCTCCAGCTGAGCCGACAAGCTGTTCTTCCCTGAAAGTCAGTTCAGAGCAAATATCTATCTATCTATCTATCTATCTATCTATCTATCTATCTATCTATCTATCTATCTATCTATCTATCTATCTATCTATCGAAGTTAACGGGTGCATAAATTGCAAACAGCGCTAACTAATAACCTAATAACCCTCTGGGATCAATAAAGTATTTTTGAATTTGAATTGAACTGGGTGCATGCAATAACACTTTACACACAGATCGTCATTCTAACTGAATATTGATTCTCAATTGCCTTACCTGTTAAAATAAAGGTTTATTAATAAAAAAAGGATATATTTTGTGTGTTTTTGTGTGTTGCAGTGCGAGGATGTCGTCCAGGGAAAACTGTGCAGATGAGCGAGGCGGAGGTCCGAGGGCTCTGTATCAAGTCCAGGGAGATTTTCCTCAGTCAACCAATCCTGCTGGAGCTCGAGGCTCCTCTTAAAATTTGTGGTGAGAACAAGCAGCTCAAATAATGTTTTTTTTAAATGTATTCATCTTATAAACCAGAGAGATTCTTAACCTGTGGGCCACAGCGCCACCTTGAGGGCCTCAAAAGAACAACAGTGTTTAACTTTGGGCCGCAGAGGGCCGCACTGATTTTGAAAAGGTGCAATACACTTTCTCACCACTAGTAGCAGTAGTGCACCACTCAGATGTTTAATAACTTTTTTAATATGTAGAAGAAGAACCTTAGAAACCTGTCGAGAATGGAAACTTATTTTAAATGAAAAGTAGAAGCAAAAAACAAAGTTTGTCACTAATATGAAGTACAGCTTCTGTTTTTACCATGTAATATTTTAAAAGTTCAAAACATTATCAAA